CCAGCTGTGAACTTATTAAGTCCTTTATGTGCTCAGGTGTGGGTCTCTTTCCTGGGAAGGAGTTCCTCTCGGATTTTCCTTGCCCCTCAGCTGGAATCATGCTACAGCCTGAAGGTTGTGCAAGCAACTCCTGCCAGTGGGGCTGTGGAACAAACTGCACAATTCCATGGAAATTCACACACTCACAGGTGATGCAGTTCATAAATTTATTATTATATTTAATAATTTATTATTATTATTTAATTATTTACTTTTTTTTTATGTAAACCGAAAGAATGATGGAGCTTCTCGATGAAGTACCTGCATACTTATAGCCGTGCATTTTATTTATTTATTTTTAAGTGGAGGCATCAACTCAACCTACGACTTTACACTTGTTTCTTTATCCAGAATCGCAGGTAGAGATCTCCCCCTCGTGGTGTGAAAACAAAGCGCCCTTACAAAAATTCCGAACTGCAGTTACACTGCTTTTAAAAAGGTGCCGACAGAGGGAGATGTTCCACCACTAACAATTAATTTCTTCGCAGCAGGAAAAGGGGATTTAAACTGAACAGAAATAAGTCATCGTTGCTCTAGTTCTAAGATGTAGTACAGCACAACACAATAGCTGCAATGTGTTCTACAGTTTCAGCAGAATTCCCTAATGAAATGGCAACTGATTGAACTTTAATTACTACACAGGATTCTGTAGGACATCTTTAAAACCGGATTTTACACTGATCTCTTCAAAACAATATTCTGTGACTATATTCCAAATAATAAGAACTCAGAGAAAACTTTTTTAATTTAAGTAGGGAGGGGCAAATAATTTTCCATAAGGGTTATTCAACATAGGAATGAATTCTGACTCTTATAAAAAGCTTTTCCAAAAATTTCATTTAATTGTTTTTGGTTCAACTGGCTCCAGTGAAAGAGGTTGTAGAGACAATGACAAATGCAGCAGCAAAGGGTGGTCTGAAGAAAAGTACTGCAGATGTCTTAGCACTGAAGAAATTTAAAAGTTTATCAACTGTCAGGTAATCCTATAAACATATTTATTTGGAAACCTATGGGACTCTTAATACAACAAAGACTCAAAATGAAAATGTTGCATTCTGCCCTGCCTCAAAATATATGAACCTTGCATTGAAGTCTAAGTGTAGATATCCATAAAAAATGGTTTTAAAAGGCTGAATGTTCTGTTCCTCTCTGTTCCTTGGGGATGCCATGAGTCCTGTTTCTTTCATGTTATCTGATGAAAACAACAGATGAGTTTTGTAACCTGCCAAAAACTGAGCTAATTCTGTATTTTTCAGCTCTTTAACTGTTCTTTTGTTGATCTTACAAAATATTCTCAATTTAATAGAAAGCTTCAGCTGCCTTGGACCTTGTCAGGACATTCAGGTCTTCGTGAAATAGCCACAACCACAAGCACAACGTAAAGACAAGAGTGGGGAAAAAAAGATGATTGATCAAATTTTTGGGCAAATGGTCTTTCCTGTCTTAAGGATTAATGTTGTAGCTGAGACACTGCTTGCTTTTAAGATCTTTCAAGGAAAGGATATTTCTCATCTTTATGTGACACTGGGCCTGAAATCCAGAAAAAGAACTGAAAGAGGAGAAACAAGCAAGGAACAACCAACAGAAGTTGGTGTCTAGACTTGCAAGCCAGGATCTTTGATCTCTTAGCACAGAGCTACTGGAAAAACAGAACACACTTCTTCCTGTAATTGCTATATCTCGATTAATTTTTATATATATTTACCTATTTTCTCATATTCCCTTCTTAATAGCAGAGAGAAACTAGAAGACAGTGTTTTAAACAATTTGCATGAGAAAATCCCAATTAGGTGGGAACAGATTCAAGGTACAAGAAATACATGTACACATCTACCTCTGCTAGAATTTACTGTGTCAAATTTCCCATTTTCGGTGACAGCAGCACCACCTTTTCTATTTTTTTTTAATTACTGCAAACTTAAAACTGGCCCCGTCTTTCTTCTGCTTTTTGCTTCTACTGCTCTCTTTCCTAAGAAAAATTATCATGTAAGCATCTCTGAACACTTCTTGAGGTTTCCTGTACTTGAAGCAGGATTTTTTTTTCAATCCTGTGAAGCCATCAAATTTAATTAATACCGGAAATATTGACTTAGTGCTAAGAGTAATATTATCATTAAATTAGAAATTCTTGTGGTGACAATGCCAGCTCCCCATCTACAGAGCAAGTCAGACACTGAATCTCAGTAAGTGCATCATGCTTTAGGTAAAACTCTTCAGAGCTGAAAGCATTATTTACTCACAGAACTTCAGATATTCCTTACATTATTTAAGACTGAGAAGCTGGTTCTTTGGCATCTTCTCCTTAATGTTTTTTCTCTGGCATCACAGATAATTTCTGCTTTAAAGCTTCCTAAAAATTGGCTGAAAACCTTTTCCTAGAAGTTTAGGGAGGAGAGAGACAAAGATACCATACAACCATGATATCACTGTTACAAAATAGCTGCTTTTTTCTTTCTCTTTTTTTTATTTTTTTTTTGAGAAGAAATGACGACTTTCTCACTCTCTAGATCCCCTCCCTCAAATTATCAAAAATCTAATACTGATTTCCTGCAAATATAGGCCTTTTAAGCTTGACTAATTTGTCATATGGCATTAGAGCAAAATGCAAGTCGACGTTTCCTGACATTTTGTCCAACATCTAATGTCTTTTAATAGAGCTCTTTAACCACATGGCTCTTTAACTTCCATCGGTGGGAGATCATTTTTCCCTTCTAGGTAGGCTGCCTCTATTAGCCTAAGCTTTACACTTCTGTTCTTTTATACCTTCAGAATGGCTGAGAAAACTATTAAAATGACTGATAGACCCACAGAGCCCATCTTTGGGCTTGGCATTTCCTTCCTCACTCCCGTTGCTGTTGGATCCCCCTTCTCCTCTCCTTCACAGGTGTTTGCTGTGCCTGACCTTGGCAGCCTTTCCCAGCTCTCTGCCCTCCTCTGGGTCTCCTGGTTACCTGGGGAAGTCACAGGTTGGACTGAGAGAAAGCTCCAAGACAAATCCCCACTTCCCAGCCCTCAGGTTGTTTTGTGAGAATTCCTCACAAAAGCTCATCCCCCTCCGTGCCATTTTTTCCTGCCAATTTTTCAGTGCTTGACTGAAGAGTTGTTGTTGACTTTACAAAGGTTAAAGGTGGCTGCCTCGAGCAACAAATGGGATTTAGCAAGAAGGGATGATTGTTGTTCTTTCAGGAATAAAGTGTCAGGAAGATGCAGAGGTCCCCTGGCCCCTGCTGAGGCACCAAGTGACAGCAGCAGCTGCTGAGGGTGCTGGAGCTCTGCGGGAGCTGAGGGTTCCCACGTCTCAGAAGGGCACAACTTCTCCTTTTCCCACATCTGTGGCTGGAGGAATAACAGTGAGAGCTCCATTGGGGAGCTGAGTCAGACCCTGCAGACAGACTCTGGTCAGACCTGAAGGGGATTCCTGAGTAGGAGCCTGAAGCTGATCCTGACTGAAGTGGCCAAGAGCCTAAGGGACAATCCTCCTTTCTCTTCTATCCCTGCAAGCATATGTGCAAGAACATAAATGTTTGAATAATTAACTAGATTTTTTTGTAGACTGAAGGTAGGACTGAAAACCAACAGACTCAGGCTGAATTCACACAGCTCCCTAATAATCTGTGCGAGCGATTAATAATAATAATAATCTGTGTGCTATACATATGACAACACACACACACACACACAGAGAATATAAATTAAATATTCTGCATTGCCAAAAAGTTCTGGACTCTGATTTAGATTCTGCCAGTGCCTGGAACATTTGCAGCATTCATAATTTCATTATAACCCAACCTTTCAGAAAAAGAGCAGTCTGGGGGGTTTCCTCCTGTCAGTGAGTATGAAATGCTTTCTCACATTTATTATCTAATGCAACAGAACAACAGATTTAAATATTTAGGAGAGTTCTTTCTAGAGAATGAATTAGGTATCAGATACTGAGAAGAGATTCCCTGCTAATGTATTTTCAACTCTGGTGGCTCCAGGGTCTAAGAATCTGCTTTCTGCTAGGAAAAACTATAAACTGTTCAACAAAAGATGAAAAACATGTCTTTCATTGTCATAAAATCAGGAGATTTCCTTCCAGGAGGGGTGGCATATTGAAAATTCTCTAGAAAGTAGAATACAGAAAGAATAACTGTCACTGGCAGCAAACTCCAACTCTCAGTAAATACACGTGTTACAAATCTAACAAAACATCACTCAAATCCTTGCATGTGTGTACAAACCAGGTTTAATATTTTTTTTAAATTTTAGGATTGGACCTTATATAATTATATATAATTAGTAAACTCCTTACTTTTATTTCCCACTTTAGTCCTTGAAATTTGGTGTCTGTTGAATTACGTTTTAGGGCTTTTCCTAAACGTGAGGTTTGGGGAGTTTTGTTAACAGTGCAATAAAAATAACTTCATAGAGTTACAAAGAAACATTAAAGACTTTTTTTGTGCGCAGCTCTTTCGCTTTAAAAAAAAAAAACAACAGACATTGTTTCTTTAAAAGGCTCCATCTGCAAATCCCATTAGATGTGCATATAAGGTTTCAGATGATTAATAGCTGCCTGCTTTGCTTTGGTTGGAGGGGCTGAGAGTATTGTGTGTTAACCCCTCCCTCCCCTTACTCACATTTCACTTCGCAAACTTGTCACTCTCTCCCCAGCACAGTATTTAAAAGGTGTTTCACTCATGCCCAGGACTTCAGGAGGGAGCAAACTGCAGGCCTGGGGAAGCAACTCATGGAGAGCCCTGCACGGGTCTGGGTCCTGTGTCCCACTCGGGGCAATGAAGCGATTTAGAAGAGCTCCCACAGTAACAAACCTGCAGCGGCATAAAACCCACAAACAAACTGTTGTTTAGGGAGGAAATCCATTCTGTGAGATTTGGAAGATTTACCCTCTGCTTCTGCTCTGATTTTGAAGCCTGAGCTGTCACCAGTTACAATCACTGAAGTGTGGACAGGACTGGCAGATGGATCCCACCAGCAGCAGCTGCATGCGCAGCCCACAGCCTCCCCCTGCCCTCTGGGGGTGCGTGAGGAGCACCCACATGGACATCAGCACAGCCCCAGGGCTGAACCACTGCCCAGCAGCACCGTTCTCCTTCCACCAGAGACCAGATTTTGATGCTTACTCCGATTTCTCCACCTCCTGCTTGGTGACGGCTCCCCACAGCTTCCCACGGGAGGAGCGAGCGTTTGGGGAGCAGCACCACCCCTTCCAACACTCTGACTGGCACCTGGCAGCAACTGAGAGCAGGAGACAACTCAACCCAGAACAGGCCTTGGCATCTGGGGAGTTGGAGGGCAGCAGCCCTGACCCAGCGAGTGTGACAGTGGGTGTGGGTGAAGATGAAGAGGCACCAGCAAACACTACAAAGGACACTGAGAAAAAGCCACCCAAAAGGAAAAAGGAAAGCTCAGGTAGGTGATATGAAATCAGGGTTGTGGGAGAGTGCAGGCAATGGAGTGAGAGCACTTGTGAGACTGAGAATTAAGAAAGGAAGCTGATTAGCAAAACGTTTCGTAATGCTTGACTGGACAAACTTACACAATAACGACACTGAAACCAAACAGTTTATTCTTATTCTGGCCTTTGTATTTCAGTCCTGCAGGGCTTGTTTACTGAACTAAGCATTTTACTCACCAGTACAATGCACATTTGCTGTAACTAAACAGGAATCACATGGCATGTACACACTGAGCTGACAGTCCTAGGATGTGGAGTTACAGATTCCTACTTGCCATTTGTCTGAGCGTGAGAGAATGGCAAAGAGCAAAGATCCCTTATCTTGAGCTGCCTGTGCTAGCTGGAAATACCATACTAGGATTTTGACATCTCAGTTTATGGTAAGAAGTACAAGAGGCAAAGTCTTCCTTTA